ATTAAGCACTCGTAACCGTAAGTAGCTAGCTTGATATTTTTATCTAGGAGACAAAAAGCTAATGATCCATCCACTTAACCTTCATGATGAAACTATGGACTCATGTAAAACATTCTCCATAAATTGAAAAAACAAAAAAACAAAAAAATCGCATTTTAGTCAGAGATTTGTCGGCCGATTCAAATGATATCCTTGGAGTGGCAACGTTTAATAACCAAATTGATATTAATCAATTCGACAGAAATTAAACCAGTACCGGGCATGTTATGATCATTTAATTTAGCAAGTGATCAAAATCAGAAGTGATTTGTTTTACAGGAGGTTTTTCTTAGATATAAGAGCAACAGAGGGGCGACTTATTAGCCATTAAATACGGGTCAAACAAGGACTATATATATATATATGTTTTCAATTTTTTTTAAAAATTATTCTTACGGCCTGCTATGAGACTGACACAGAAAGTGATGAACCACTTCCTTTGCAGTTTAGGCGTGTTTAAAATAAAATTATCATTCATAATTCACCATTAATTTCTAGGTTTCCCTCCTTTTCTGTACCTACCATGACATAATTAACATCGAATCATGAATGAAACGAGTAGTCACTTGATCATCACGTGTATGCATATTATCTTTAAGTGCTGATCTGTGGGCACTCACAATTATCTTACTTGATCACTAATTAGTTTAGTTATAATTAGGTATACTATATAGCTGTGATAAAAAATTTCACCCCCTATATATACGTATATACTATTACTTAATTGGCAACTGATAAATGACACAAATAACAATCAATGTCAAACAATATTGCAGTTTAGCCAGTATAATCACATGATCAACCTTCACAATCCCTTTCCTGAGAGAGATTAGAAATTATAAGATTTGAATATATATATGGAAAAATGAACTATCATAAGTTTTTATTTTTATTTTTAGTCGTCACATTTATATTAAAACTGTATGTTTTACATATATATATATTTTTAATTTAATGTAATTTTAACTAGATCCAATGAAAAGAAATTAGTACTACCTCAATAGGAAAGTTTCTCGTAAAAAGTCCTATATATATATCGAGTTCAGAATTTGTAGCTTTTGTATGTAGTGCAACCGTGCAAGGCAACATAAGTGTTAGACTTGAACAAATTAAATAAATTAGAATATTGAACTTTCGAAAAAGGGGTTTTTGCGAGGGTAAAAAGTCGTCGTAAAAACCCGCATATCGTCGCAAATAAGGTTTTTTGCGACGACATGTCGTTATAAATTTGTCGGCGCAAAAATGTTTTTTACGACGACATAGTATCGTCGCAAATGTATTTGCGACGACAATCGTCGCTAATACGTCGTTGCAAATTTTTCGTGATATGATCTATTTTTTGCGACGACATTTTAAATTGTCGTCACAAATAATCTTATTTTTTTGCGATGACAAGTCTAAAAAAGTCATCGCAATAAACCAAAATTAATTTTTTTTATAATTTTTAAAAAATGGCAATTAATTAAGCTTTAATATTTTTAATTAAACATTATTATGTCACATATTGAATAGAATTTATTAAGGTACATTAAAAGTGAAATATAAATTAATATTAAAAACAGTAAATCTAAATAAATTTATAAAATATATTATGAATACTACATGAAGTGCATATATAATATTCAAAAAAATATAAAAGTCTAAGTAAAGTGAAAAATAAAAAAGTACATATAACAGAACTAATCGTCTAAGTTTGTAGCATCGCCAGCATCTGAAGGAGGCAGAGGAGCGTCTAGGTCAACTAGTTCTGGACGATCAATCGTAGGTAATTGGATGTTGGGTTGCAATTTAGCCATCAACTATAACACCTTCATCTGAAGTTTCATAATTTTTGGCGACCTCAATAAAAGCAGATAACCCATTCCAATGTTGATCCGACAATCGGTTCCTCAAATAAATCTAACTTTTGTCAATCGGCATTTCAACTATACACAACAACAGACAAAATAATTTATTAATGTGTTTAATTAATTTTAATTTTACTCTTTATTAACACAATTAATTTTTATTCATTAAAGTTTGTTAATGAACTTATTAAAATTCTCGTTTTCTAACTAAATTTCGGCAACATAACGGCTTATTTTTCTTATGATCTAAAAATCTAAACCTGTAGAAAAATAACTTTAAAAGATTTCGGCACGCCATAGCTGCAAGATGTGCCACCCAGAACAAGAATCATAAACATATACTAAATTTCAACAATATAAGAAAATCATAGTTCAAATATCAAAATCATAATCCCGAATTCATACAACCAAAAACTACAACAATTTTAAACTAAAAGTACAATAAATATAAAAAACTTGCGAAGTTCAAACCCACTAAACGGGGGCTGAAAATAGTGGGATTACGTCGGAGGAACCGGGCAAACAGCGATGAAGGCGAAAAATCAAACGCCTACATCAAATTGAAACATCGAACATAATTTAACGTGACTGAAATTAACATTTTATTAACATCTAGAGTAACATATTTAAATGCACAAAAAAATTTCATTCCTCGGCATTAAATCTAATTATGTTAACAAATAATGTAAATTAATTAATTAATCACTTGTTCAAAAATAATTCTAAATTAATGTCATAAGCTAACATTTACACAGCCTCATAGTAAATGTTTAGAAACTTCATTTATACATTTTTACAAACACTTTACAAACAACTCAACAAAACACATAAAAACAGTAAAAAAGTTACCGGAGTGTGTAAAACATACCAGTAAATGTAGAACGGTGAGGCGGCGACGAGCGATTCGGCGGGGCGGTGGTGGAATCCGGCCGGCAGCGGCGAGCAAGGGAAGAGAGAGAGAGAAGGGAAGAGAGGGAGAGAAGGGAAGAAAGAGAGAGAAGAGGAGAGAGGAGGGGCGGGGGTGGGGCGGCAGGAGCGGCGGCGGCGGCCGGAGAGGGGAAGAAGAGAAAAGGGAAGAGAGAGAGAGAGAAGGGAAGAGAGAGAGAAGAGGGCCGGTGGCGGTGAGGGGAAAAAGAGGCAGAGAGAGAGACTTAGCAGGAGAGAAAGAGAAAGCGTCGGGGGAAAATGAAGAGGAAGAAGATATGGTATATTAGATCAGACTTATTTGTGACGACATTGTCGTTGCAAATAAATTTAAAATGTCGTCGCAAATAATCATTTTTCCCGCGTTTAGTTTTTGGTGAAATCTTAAAAAGATTATTTGCGACGACAAAGAGAAAATGTCGTCGCAAATTACATGAATTTTTTGCGACGACATTTGTCGTCGCAAATATCTTATTATTTGTGACGACTACTTGTCGTTGTAAAAAATAGATTACCTTGGCGGTAAAAATCCGCGCCATTGAAATTTGCACTCCAAAATTATTTGCGACGACATTTAAGTTATTAGCGACGACATGGTTATTTTATTTAACGGAGAGTAATTGCGACGACATGTCGTCACAAATATTGTATTATTTGCGACGATAAATGTCATTGCAAATGACCTTTATTGTTGCAGTGTTTCGGAAACAAAGAAGAGTAAGGAACCCCTGTAAGGAACACCCTTAATTTGTAGCCTAGCAGAGAAATGGTACCTTTCAAGTAAAGCTGCCCAACATACAGATTGGATGGTCATAGCCGGCTTTAAAAACAAAATGTAATTAGTTAATACTTAATAAGTAGATGCGTACGCTTCATCCAATTGACAAAAACAAGGTGCTTATATCAAATTTGAGTCGTGATAAATTAATAGAACCTTATAGAATATTTATTTGATGAGTAATTGAGTACTTGATTGTCGTATTTTAACTTTGTTTTTTGTTTCACACTTGATTTCAAACATGAACAATCTGTTCAATTAAAAATATAAGCACAGGCTCCCCACTTGATAATAAATTTGTTTTATTAATAATAAATTTATATTATCTCATCATCATCTCTCTAAAATAATAGTGATGCAGCCCATGTTTGGAAATATCACACGACACTATAAAGAATTGAATTTTTTTTGACATAATTAAGGTATCATCTTTTAGAAGGAAAAATGAAATCCCATTGTTTGAGGATTTAAAATTTAATTAATAATTTTCTTTTACAATTTTTTATTTTTTCAAATAATTTCATCTAGGGTAATGAGTCAATTTTTTTTTGCTAGTAGTAATTAGTCAAACTTTTGATTTTTTCAATTTTGGCTTATAGTCTTAGTCAAACAGTAGACGTTAGTACAAGTTATCAATTTTGATATTTCCTAATTTCTGTATATTATTTTCTAAATCCTTTTGCTAGTTTTCCAATATCATAAATTTCTATGCATGTAAATCTAATTATATGTTCCTTAAAAAAAAAAAAAAATCTAACATATATATGAAATTTTGAGCATTAGCTCTTTCTTTTTTCATTCTCTTGGCAAATAATTATAGAATTAATAACGAGTATTTGATTTTTTTTTCGCTTGAACTGTTTAAACGTAGGTCTTTAATTTCTGTAGAAACTGCATCAATCAAAACTAAACTCCTTTAGGACATGTAAGTGCATACCCTAAAACCACTTAAATTAGTTATATGTGTGTGTGTGTGTGTGTATATATATATATATATATGTAGTCGAGCTAGTATTGAGAAAATTATTTGTTAGATGTGATATATTTAACTACACCAAAGCATATTAAGCACGTAGTACACACGTACGCCTCTTGCTCTATCATCATTCATCACCAAAATTATTCCAAGTATATACATTATTAATTTGCAATACCACCGACCGACTTGATAGCCAAAGAAATCAGATTCTCAATCCATTTTCTTATACCCCTCTTTTGTTTGTTTCTTATAGTAAATGACTCGTTGACCTACTTTTCCCCCCACCTTAATGGCCTTTTAAGATCACTCCTTACCCTATTCTCAAACTTCTTTTTTTTCCTTCCTTAATTCCCAGTGCAACACAAACTTATCTCTCCCTTGCCGTCTGCACCTCAATATTCCAGCAACAAGACTCGTAACTATATGTGCTTGGATGTCCAGAGACAGGTAACTACTATATATATCTATATATATATATATCAATCAACAAATTATGGGATTGAATGATCAAAAGCCCTAAGCATCATAAAAGAAATTCTAGTAAATTTGTCTTCTTTTGTTTCTTTTTGTTTTTCTCACCTAATAAGTTGTTTTCTCAAATTAAGTTATAACATATATGTTTTAGGGACAGATTGGATGAGATAGGAAAGAGGATTAGGAGATCAGAGATTTGTGATGCAGTGCCTTATGATCATCAGAATTATTCCGAATTAGTTATGGGAAGAACACAATCATTTAATAATGGTCTTAGTATTACTCCTCATGGAACCTTGAACACCATCATTCCTTGTGCTGCATGTAAGCTTTTGAGAAGAAGATGCGCCGAAGAATGCCCCTTTTCCCCTTACTTCTCCCCTCAAGAACCACAGAAATTTGCCGCCGTCCACAAAGTTTTCGGTGCAAGCAACGTTTCCAAGATGCTAATGGTAATTAATAGTAGTTTTAATTTCCCTAATTGTGTTTAATTATCTATAGTTTGCTTAATTTTTCTCTTTATAAATATTAGTGTTTGTTATATATAATATAACATATATCATGTAATTCTATAGGAATTGCCAGAAAGCCAAAGGGCTGATGCGGCTAATAGTTTGGTTTATGAGGCGAATTTGAGGATTAGAGATCCGGTGTACGGGTGCATGGGAATTGTATCGGCCTTGCAGCAGCAGATTCAAACCCTACAAGCGGAGTTCAGTGCAACAAGGACTCAGATATTGAGATACAAATATAGAGAGGCAACTAGTCACATGATCGTTTCTTCTTCTTCTACTACTACTTCTAATTTAGTTTCTCCTCATCATCATGGCGTTGTGTCCATCGCTTCATTGCCTCAAGCTATTAATCCTCTCTCTACACCGCCCGCGCCTATTACACCGGCTCCTCCTCCGCCTCCTCCTTCTATCGTCGTCTCCTCGTCTTCTACATCTTCGACTTCTTCTCTTTACACGAC